ATGCTTGAACTAACGGTTTAACAGATATCGCGATTTTTCGTTCTGCGTTTTGTGAAGTTGGCACCCCAAATTTTTATTATTCCATTTTTTGTGTTAATTCGTCGAAACTATTTTTTATATTGGGCAGGAACTTCTTCGGGCTGCATTCGGAACTGTGTCGAACATTTCATTTTTTTTTTTTAAATGAGGTGCCAACTTCACAAGTTGAGGTGTCAAAGTAAAATTTCACGGCGATGCGCGCATTGTGGAGCATCTAGTACAAAGCGTAAAGCCGCTTCGCATTCTTGCTTCAACATTACCGACACGAAAACATTTATTGTCAGTCTACCTTTGCAATAGTTGCGAAAGGGACGCAACACGTATACAGTATGTACATGTGTAGACCGCCTGCGGTTTCGCAACGCAGTCTCATCCGGCGAGGAACCGACGAATGGAAACACTAACGTGTTCCGCATATGAACGCATACATACATTTTCAAGCGTGAAAATGGCACGGTGCAATGGACTCGCTGATCAATATATGGAGAGATTGTTAAAAATTTTGCCGCACGGCGTCGTCTGAATTATTTATCGCAAATAACGCAAATATCGTTTTAATCTTGTAATATCTCTAACAAAGCGCGAGATCTTGATTATACCGTTCTTAGTATACAGGTCGCCGTGGTTTTATGTATGGAACACCAATTTTAACACACATTTCCTCAAAATACGTCGATGATTACTCAAGAGTTTCGATGTATTCTTTAATTTTGAGTAAATTATTTACGTATATTCTCTCTAAATTTTTATTAAACCATATGTACCTTCGTTATATAGCTTGTGTCTTTTGTTGGATTATACCTTGTATAAGGCTCGTATCAAGATGAATAAATTCGTCTTTATCTTACAGCATTTATGTCAAATCAGCTGTTGTAGTATGATTGCATCGTAGTTATTTTTATAGTAATTTACTCGAATACTTGAGGCAATTATGAAGAGAGGATGACACATTATCGTAAGAAATGCACGTGCCTGATCTGTTGCGGCGTGATGTTATTGCACATAACGTCTTATTACAGACAATCAACTCGCACATCAAGCTGATTGGCAACGTAGTTGTCCCTCTAGAAGCGCATCACGGAAACGACAGCCTGGACGCCATTGAATACAAGGAATTGAACGGATGTAGTCTAAAACCCTCCATAATGCGTCGCGACTGACCCAGATTCGTGATCGCTGCAGCACCACCTTCATGTCTTTTTGTCTGCGCACGCGGACATCCTGAAGGACAGATTTAAGCGTTTTCAAATTCAACCGGTGCCGTTTTATATTATAATTCGTTTAGATGCAATGAGTGCCGCACGGTTCTCTCAATTTCAATGACAGGCTCTACGATGCACGAGAACCTTAGACCTAAATTTAAAGATAAAAAAATGGAACAGCTATATAGAAAAGCATACACATATCCTGTTGTTATGTAAGATATAATTTATAAAGATAGGCTTTTTTCTTGTCACTTGTAATATACAAATTTGATAAATTTTTTGAAATTATTTGTACAATCGCTTCACGAGCGAGAGATATTCGCGATAAACCAGCAGCCTTGATTTACATGGGCAAAAAGACATGCAATGTCGCGACTACCAATCTTATAGCTGTATCAGTCATTGCGCCTCGGTCAATTAATCAATTCGCTATCTGACAATATGACTCAACTGTGAACCTAATTCGACGGAAACGTATTTTTATCTATACAAAAATATACGCGCTTTCAGATCTCTCTTCGAGATCGGTTAGCTGTGGCCTCGAGACATTGTTCAAGGTTCGTTGGCGAAGGTCCACGATAAAATTATGACGTAATCCCACAGTCCAGAATGTGTGCATAGAGAGTGGCTAAATGTTGGATGCTGGATAGCAAATCGTAACGCGAATCAATGGAATGGTATTAAAGGTGAGCTTGCGAAGACTGCGGAATCTCGATATGCTGCATATGTATGCTATCGATTATATTATTTATCGTCCAGAAAGCTATGTATCTTGATATCGCGTATTAATCACAGCTACAAGTTGTACATGAAATTTCATTTTCTTATAAATCTTAAGCAATTCTAATTTGTACCTTTAACATTATATTTATACTTTATAGTAATTATATAGGATTTCTATTTTTAATAAAAAATTATGAATAAAGAATTTATTATTTTTATAAAAAAATATTGTTGTCTTATCTTACATTATTATACTTTTCTATTATAGTTACTGATTATACTGTTTTAGACCGGTTTTCTACGTATAACGTTGATTTCCGAGATTCGAAAAAGCAGCGAGAAATGATACATTTGTTAAACCGAGGAGTCAGCGGCATTCATAGCATATGACATCACAACATTAAGAGGAATGATATAACTCGTCACCGAGTTACACTGCAATGAATACATTGCTCGTCACGAGCAACGACTATTTCAATCATAGAGTAGTACTCACTAATTAACGTAAGTCTCGATGTATTTTTCTATCATAGCATAGATAGCAACAATAACATATACTCATACGTAGTTATATGTTTGAAATAATACGGATTCCTTTTTTCTTAACTATTATAGTTCCCACCGGCCTCTACATTGATGAAATATACGATTATGCACATTCATCGTACCTAGAGATCGACTTATGCACGCTACGTTCAAATACGCGTGGTATAAAATATAATTAAAAATAAATATGACAAAAAATTTCTCAAAATTGTAAATTGGGAGATTATACCGACACTTATAGAATGAAGACAGCAATGTGTAAGAAATATTTAATTTTACTATCTAAGTAAAATCGAACTAACAATAAGATATAGGTCGATACTTATTCATCAGATGTAGAAATGAGATAGAAAAGATGTTTTTTTTTTTTTTCAAATAAAGAGAGAGAGAAAGAGAGGGGAGGGGGAAATAAGTAAAAGTAAATTTTTTCCTTGAGGATAGGATAAGAAATTAGCAGACACAGATTAAAAAAGAAATCGTTTTCTGATTAACAATCTATTACGATGTCTGTAACAACCGGTTTTACATGCTTCTAATAACAAGCAAAAAAATACCTTGTCTAAATTCTACCGTCTTATCGACATGCTGTCGATTTTCTCACTTAGAACGAAACAAAGTACTTGGACTTATTATCCTCGTTTCTCAACTGTTAAAGTATCTAATACTTTTGTACTTAATGACGTAATAATAAACAAGAATGCTAAGGAAGAAGGTGCAATTAACGAAGCAGTCTGACATTTTCTACCTGGCAGCAACCTTTTTGTCCTGTAAAATTGTGTGCGCCCACGTCGAGTGAGAGCACATTTTTTTCTCTATTTCGGAGAGTAATGTTCAGGATCTTCGGTATCGTGAACACAAGCACGTGCGTTTCCCTACGCTATCTTTTGCAGCAGCCTGGAGTAACCGTGACCTTTGAGCCGCAACGATCGGCCGGTTACATCGTCTTAATGATCGCTTTGCATGCTAACACGATTGACATAACGATCTGCGACAAAGGCAGTTGTACTGTTGACGACTTTTCAGATATTCAACAAATATAGAATGCCATAAAAATTGCATGAATTCTATGAATAGAAATCTTGATGAACGGCATCGCCCTATCCATCATCCAGTTCAAGTTACGAAACACTCGGTAAATAACATATATTTAGAATTGTAGATTTTTTAGCATTAATTTGTTTATCGCAAAGTGATTAGACAACCAGACACTCGACTAGACACACTTGCAAGCGTTTTAAGTTTCAGAAAAAAAAAAAGTATTATAATATTACAGGCAAACGAAACGAAAAATAAAAATTCATTCATGCAAATAGTTTCTTTTTGCGAAAGAAAGTAACGTGGCACGTGAGAAGAAAGTGTCAAATGGGAGAGCACAGTTGTTATCGAATCCTCCTCTCGCACTTTACACACGCAATCGAAACTGCGAGCTAACATGCGACGAAACAACGGTTGAATACGAGCCCGTATATGTTATTAGATGGCATGTATACGAAGCCTATCATTTGTAATAATGCCACCCACTTCCCTCGTCTCGTGGCCAAAAATACATATGTAACAAACTAATGCGCACACCATGCGGTATGTTGATAATTTTGAGTATTGCGACACAGTAAATTTTTTAAACATATTGATTGTATAGATATTCTTATATATATATAATATATGTGACTTCGATTACAGTATCATCATATATGTATTCATGTAAAAAAATATTTCTGTTATATTAAACATCAACGTCTGTGAAGCTGGCCCCTCATTGTCAAAATTTTGAAAAAATAAGCAGAGTTCTGGTTGCCCCCCGTAATTTCAAATGGTGTTTTCGCTGCTTTAGAACTCTTCCTAAATTTGATAGAGAACTCTAGAACTCTTCGGGGGGCAACCAGAACTCTGCTTATTTTTTCAAAATTTTGACAATGAGGGGCCAGCTTCACAGACGTTAAACATCAATTCTGATTTTATGCGAATGTTTTTAATGTACATGTTAGAACATTGCATCGCATCGCAAAGAATACCCGGTCTTTCGCAACGTACAAATCAGTGAAATTGCTAGACAAGTATCCGGTATCGTATTCTTGATAATTGAAGCATTGAGAATGATATGAACTTGAGCAGCTCTCCTATTTTTACTTCATAACTTTAAATAATAATGTTTAAATTTTAAATAGAAAATTTTCAAATAAAAAACCTTTCTTCTATTTAAAAAAATTTCCTTTAAATTATATTTCTCTTATATTCATTGCCTACAGTACATTTAAATGATACAACAAATTATAATTCACAATCAGTCGTGAAAAGAGAAATGTAATAAAAATAAAATAAACTCGATGGAATAAATTAACTAGAATCGTCATTTGAATGTCTGAATTGAATTTTCTTCCTTTACTTCATTGTGTGTGACACTAGTTTTTCAACGTTCCGGATCCACGTCGCGTCGTCGCCCTAAATGGCCTCAATATTGTCCGTCAAGAAAAAGTTGATCAATCTTACCTGTTTGCCGGCTCGTGGCAGCGTCTCCACGTTGGTACCGCCGACTACGGGAGCCTTTTCCGGTCCGCCGTTCTGCTGGCTGACGTTTATGTTGTCGTTAACATTGGCGTTAACATTATTGACGTTATCGGTGACGTTCGTGTTCATATTTGCTCCTGTAGTAACATCGTCGGTGCCGCCACCGCGCTTTCCGTCCTCACCCGTCATTCTTCGGCTGTACTCTCGGTTTACCCTCTCGTTGTCTCACACTCTCTTCACCCTCGCCACCTCCGCTGCCGCCACCGCCGCCGCCGCCGCCACCCCCGTTCCGCTTATACTTGCGCTCGTTAATTCTCAACTTCGGTCCACAGCTCGGAATCCCGATATCTGTGCGGCCGATCGAGAATCGATCAGAGAAGTATGCATCGAAGCGCGATCACCATGACGAATGACGCTTAACCGATAACGTGTGATTGAATTATTTCAGCCTCTTAACGCGGAGCTTTTATTTCCCGCTGAGACCCTACTAGGCTATTAATAGACGAAACTTGGCTTTTATTATTAGCGTGATACACACGAGAATTGATAACTTGACGGGTTCACTTTTAAACACGATCTTATATGCTTGAAGTGGTGTGTAGACCTGAAATTATGAACTCGATATCCACCGGAAATAAATTAATTCCCGCACGCGGTGTTATGTTATAGCTCCATCGGACCGAATTACTTTGGTTGTTCTTCGAGGAACGCTATTTTTAGTCTCCACGAAACGATACGGGTGGTATAACCGTAAATGACGAAACGGTTCACAGGCACATTGTGAGCACCATCCTCCCGTTAGCTATTCGCCGCAAGGAGAAAGAAGCGAGCGCGAGCCTCGCCCGAAGTGTGCGATCTTCCCGCTAACATCACCAAACAACATAAAGATCCGGAATTACATCGCAAAGATGTAAGGCGTCTTTCGCGCAGACATCTCGATCACATTCGTGTTGTTTGGGATGCTTCTTCATTCAGAACACTCTACGTTCACGATTCTTATTTTCTCGCAAATAAATATCGCGCGCGATATTTGTCGGATCATCGACAATCGTGAAAGCAGGAATCAGATCCTTTTTCCGAGCTTTTGGGTGGGGGGAGCGCAGGAGAGACAGTTTTGGTCAGGATCAGGCGCGAGCTCTCTTCACCGAGGGTGAAAAAAATACGAACGAGGCCCTAAGGCGAAATAACGGAACAGTATAATTGACGAGAAGTCGCGGGAACCGTCGCGAGGAAACGCAACGCGAGCGGTAAGCCCGCACGGTCGACGATAGAACTACCGGGAAAATCGATTCGAGCGTGTCCGTTCGAGCACTGCGCGCCTCTCCGCTCCGTGGCGATAAAAGCGGCCGTCATTCCGTTCCGCGCGACGTTTACGACTCGAACACTCGAGGCGCAGTTTTTCCGAAATTCAAAATAGCGCATGCTTTTATCTTTTCTCGCCTCTGCTGCTGGTTCCACTCGAAACAATCGCCCGTATGTTTGATTTCATTACATTCGTGTTTTGTCCCGCGCTTAAATTCTTCTTAAAACAGTCTATCAGAAAGAAATTTAGAAAAAGAGGAAGAGAGGAGACTCTCAATTAACATTATAATGTTTGGTATGTATAATATTATATACATATATTAATATCAATGTAAACTACTAAGATCTTTATTCAAGAATATTGCATTGCAAAAATTAAAACTTAACACATGACGGTAATGCATGTAATATAAGTCACAGGTAAACTTAAGAGAACCAACGAGATTTTCAAATTAGTACTTCAAAATTATTCCAACGTGGAGCAGCTTTTGTAATTCAGAATATAATGTAGAAAATTGTAATGAGAAAAAAGGCGAAAACTGACATGATAAAAATATTAAGTCGAAAATTTTGCAATGTAAATAAGTCACTCATCTGCATCGCTGATATCACGGAAGAAATTCTTTAACAGCAAACGCGTTTATGGATACTCCGAGTCATCGGAACGAACCGGATTGCGCGAGACGCGATTGGTCCTCGATGAAAAACAGGAAAACTTGGAGAACGCGCAAAACGACATCCCGCAATTACTAAACCGGGATTCCACTGGCTGGTTTCTATACGCGCGCACGAGCGCGCGCGGGCGCGCGCACGCACATATACCATACATATACGTGCATTTTCTATACATACGTATATACACACCCACCCAAGCCCACGAGATGTATGTATATAATATATTAGTATCGTCGGATCTGGTTCCTTGGCGCGGTATTTCGCGTGCGATCGATCTCTCGAACCCTTTTTCCCGCACTTCGGCCGAGTTTGCCGCGGTTCGATGACGCGCGGCGCCTCGAATCCGCACGATTATCGAGCGATTACGTTCGAACGCTACCCTAACGCGCGAATGGTCGTAAAAAGGGGGGGGGGGGAGAGAGAGAGAGAGAACTTGAGGGGTTTACATACGTAGGGTTGCGCGGATACCTTAAAGTCCACCAAGTCCGTGGACCACCGCGGTATTCAGCGGTATTCAACAGGAGAACACTTTTCCCATCGAACGCTTAATCTTCTCCACTTGTCAAATCACACGCCGAGCCGTCATCTTTCGCTTTTGCGCCACTTCTCCCCTTCGCGTTCTCCTTTTTGCTTCTCCTCTTCACATCGACCCGGCTGCCGCAGACCGCGCGCGCACACGTATACACGACTCCCGACTACTCCGAGAATTCGCGCGACGAGGAAACCACCGAGCGTAACGCGACCGCTCTCCCGGATACTCCGCACGGCTTTAATCGCCGCCGCAGTCTGCTCTCTGCTGTCATCGATGGCGACGCCGCGCCCGTCGCGGCATCTGCTGGCAATGCAGCGCAACACTCCTTTATTTTTTTTTAAACACCGGAAGCTCTTATTAATTAAATCAAACGATATATATATATATAGAGAGAGAGAGAGAGAGAGAGCGCGCACACGAGACAAGAATCTTATATATATTTCATTAACCTCTCTAAAATAAAAAATTTTGACATTTTTCGTTTTAAGAATATTTATAATTCAACTTTACGTTAATTCCAAAATAAACGTTTTAATTTCCAGAAATATATCAATAATAAAAGCGAGGGGAGAATACAACATGCAACAATTTTGTAATAAACTAGCTAAACGTATAATTCATAAGATATTTCAATAACACGAGATAACTATTCCTAAGGTTTGAGATAAAAATAAATATATGTTTATTAAATTAAATTGTCCACAACTTGTATTCTAATTAGAAGTAAATGCAATATATACAAATTTGCAAACAAATTTTATTATCACTGATACATTTGCAGATTATAACATATTTTCAAGTAATACTTATACTATTGTGTAACATACGTAAAATTATCACTAATGTAAACTGGTATATCAGCTAATCAATGAAATATTATTTAGCTTATCTTATTTATCTTATCTTTATATTACATAAACTATTTCATTAAGTATGATATTTAATAATTGTTAAAAAATTATAACATCTATATATCACGAATGACGCAACGTGCAATTCAATTACAGAGAGAACTTATTGTAGTACTTTACGTACACAAAGATTATATTTCTTTGGTCTTTTATCTTAATTTTAAAAATAAATGATGTATTACAGATAGCGTGTTTTTAAAACATTTCTCTGTGATTAAATATAACGTTAAATATATGTTGATAAATTTTTCATTATTGCTAATTTAATAATATAAATGTTTCGTATGTAACAATTGTTACAAGTACTATTTACCATCGTTATAATTTTTTAATACATCATTTACACAAGAGTGCTCCCTTAGAGATCCTGATTAAGAATTTGGCGAAAGCGGCTCAACTTTTTGGCTGCGTTCCATTATTCATGAAAATCTATAGTATATACTACAATATAAACTACAGATTTTCAGTACTCATTACTAAGTGAGAAACGGAACACACCTCGCGATTTATGATCCATTCGGTATACTTTGCACAGCTTTATACGCTGTCAAAAAAACGAGAGCAAAGAGAAAAAGACAGGTAGCTATATAAGCAGATGAGTTTAATTTTCATCTTATAAATAAGATCTTATTTCACCTAAGTTTAATACACCGAGACTAACAGTTTTCAAATAGAAAGAATTTGAAAATTATAAATGGCAGCATTACTGAAAAAAATTTAATAAATGTTAATAAATACTTATTATATATTTAGAATAGTACTAATTAAACAATTGCTTACAGTAAATATGTATTTACTCAATAAACAAAATGAGACTTACAGTCAAATTAATGGTTCTTGTACCAAACAAATATTTATTACAAATTGGTAAATTTTTTTCTAGTGTAGAATTTCGCGCACTCAGAGATAACAAAATGTCTAGTGCGAAGGTGCTTTCTCGAACTTATGTCTTTGATAATGGCTGCGTTCAACAGAGAAAACAGCTTTGCAACTGTTGTAAAATTCTTTAATATGATTGGTCTTGCCCCTATTTCCTTATTAGATCTAAATGTATAAGCTAATCATATTCAAGAATTTTACAATAGTTGCACAGTTGTTTTTCTTTTTTGCTGAATGCAGCCATTAACAAAATTCAGGACTGTCATTTCTGAAACTTTAGTCCTGTCATTCATATAATTTTTAAATTCCCGTTTGAAAAAGCTATTGTAGCTTTAGTATTTTTCTATTAGATTTTTCGTCTTAAAATATCATAATATTTGTCCTTAAAATGTTAATTGTTAGTTTTGGAACACTCTGTATATCCGTTTTTTAATTAATTATAACAAAAAAGTGCCAAATCTTTCATCAATTTTATTATTTCAACTCTTTTTTAATTAACTTTTAACTGGACAAGGAATAATCATTTTATTCTTCCTGTGTCTATCTGTCATAATTTTTAATCCGCTTCTTTATCATCTCTTTAGGATCTCTAGGGTCTCGCACTCTCACTATTCATATAGAGAGAGAGAGAGAGAGAGAGAGAGAGAGTTATATTATACAATTATTAAAGATATTGACAATTGCAAATAAACTATAGTTTAGTTTGCATAATATGCGAATATAGAGTAATGTAATCTTCAGGTTTCATAAAATTAAAGTTACTCGTTTTTTCGCAAAAATGTACTATGAATGTATTATGAATTTATCTAATAAAAAAATGCATACGTACAATTTAATTTGCAAAATTTACAAAATATTAACATAATACAGAAATATAATATGATTAATCAGCGAATAGTACAATTAATGGAACGGATAATAAAATACATGCGCTTTCAAAAAATGTCATTCATGTTTCAGATGTAATAATGTAATACATGAATGCTACTTGTGTCAATTATATAAATGTATAATAGTGAATTCGATTGAATGCACTCAGTGCGCATCTTTACATCGCACCAAAACCATCGTACACCAATTAACGTGAAAATGTGTTCAATATCAAAATAAAAATGGATTATTTTTTTTAATGATCTCAGTATATTTTATTGTACTGTTAAGCAAAATCTATATTTTATAATTTAAAATATTTGCATTTTATTTTTAAACAGATTAAATCAGTATACAACGATTTTAATATACATTATAATGCGCAGTAGTGCGTGCAATCGAATTCCCTATAAGACTTGTATAAACTAAATATAAAAATAATTTGCGTACACATATTGAGAATAATAGTCTAACGCAAGACGCATCTCCTGTATATTTAGAATTGACTTGAAAATAATTCTACGTAAATTTTAATTGTTGCAACAGCAATTCTCGCCTTACAGAGAAAGGCTCCCAGATATCCCTCTTTGATTTTAATGAACGAATTTGTCCAAAAAAGGGGGATAAAAATATTTTATTTATTTTAAATTAACAACCAATATATTTAAGAAATAAAATCAGTAATTATCTCGTTTTTTTTTTTTTTTTTGACTATACCGTTTGAACAATGTACAATAGTGATTTTGTATTGTACGTATACAAAATGTACACAATTAGGACAACATTAACTGATAAAATTATTCAGGTGTGCTCACCTCTCTATATTACCTAGTACTCCGAAAGTCGCGCGAAAGCAGTGGGATTCCGATAGATTCTATATAATTTCATGAGGGAAGCCTTTCCTTGTTAATTCATTTCCTTCATATATATTATTTTTCTTAGACAAAAAATATTTTTAATGATTTTTAGCACATTCTGTTGCAATTTAACTTTTCATTCTCTGTTGCATCCATCGATCTTCTCGTGTCTTTCAAGTTGTTTCTTAGTATAAAACCGCGTACCACACATATTACATTTTAATTTGGAATTAGTGCCATGATTCATCATGGTATGATATTCTAAACCTACCTTATCAGAAAATACTTTGCCACAAAAATAACATGCATTATGCTTATGCCCTTTCATATGCCCACGGAAAGTTTTAAGTTTTACAGATTTCAAGCATATAGTACAAGTTACCAAGTTATCAGCTCCATTAAAATGTATCGTGTATCTGTGATAAGAAAGATTCTTATTATTTGTATAAGCCTTTTTACATTTATGACAGGGATAACCGAAACCTAAATGATAACCTTCGTGTGGAGTCTTTGACGAGATACTAATCTTTTTATCACAAAATTTACAAATCAAATCGTTATGCTCCGAATGAAAATGAGATAATCGTGATTTATCATTCGTGAATCGTTCGGGACATTGAAAACAATGATACCCATGATCAAAATGTTTGAATCTCATGTGTTCATCGAATTCGCTGTAACTATTTAGTAGCTCTTTACAAAAGAAACATAGTAACCGTAGTGAAAATTCATCGAATGATCTGCCTTTTGTAACAGTACATTGGTGATTATCATATAACTTAATATTACTAAATTCTTCCATACAGTATCCACACATCATTGGTTTAAATTGTATCGTACGAACCTCTGTTTCAGTATAGAAATGATCCAATTTCACTTTGGAAGAGAGATATCGTTTATTTGTAGATCGTAATTCTCGCTTGTTTTGATATACTTCTAGATTTTTAACTTGATCATTTTCCATGCAAGTTCCTTTAATTTGGTTAAATTCTTCATTCCTATCTTCTATATTGTCAGATTTACGAACGTCGAGAACCTTTTGACACATTTGTTTCAATGTATTGACTTTATCGAAAAATTTTTCAATTTTTCCACCTTTCATATCGTTTTGTGACGAACTCTGCTTGCCATTTTTTTGTGTAGTCATCTGCTTCATTGTATTATATTCATCAAGACCAGTTTGTACATCGTCTTCAATATCAATGATTACGTCTTCATCTGTATCTTCTAACTTCAAAATACTATGATCTTTACTGTATTTAGATGAATCAGATGTAACTAATACTTGCTGATTAATGGACGCTTTAACAACATTTTTGGTATAATTAGATTTATGAGACACAGATGAAGTATCTTCTTCAAAATATGTTTTAGAGACATTAAGTTTATCTTCATCATCTTTACCAACTATTTCATATGAATCATTTCGTTTCTTGATTGTTATATTAATGCCAATACCAGAGTCTCTATCACTGCTAACCCTAGTGTTCTTTACTGTATCCTCATTTTGACATAATTCACAATTGTTTTTATGAAGGAACAAGGTATGAGGATTTCGAAATGATCTTCCGCATATACAAGTAGTATCATTATTTCTGTTCATTCTTTCATTGTATCGAATAGCTCGATTAGAAATTGAACTATTTTGATTACGCAATGCATTAGGCTTGGAATTATTTAATTGCAATTTATCCTCTTTATTTATTCTACTATTAGCATTTTTGGAAACAGTGTTAGCAGACTTCATAGAAGGCTGTAATGATTTGTAATTCTTATTGAATGGCGAATTAAAGTATCTACATGGAAATTTATGAAAATTTTCTTTAGTTTCTCCACGTAAGATGTGATTGCGTTTATGTTTACATAAACTGTGAGCAGTTTTATACATTCCCAAGCAAATATCACATTTATATGAATAAGCATTTAATATTTTTTTCTGTGTGATGGTAGGTGGATTCTGAACAAATGTATAGCGTTCATTATTCAATTTGCGTTTCTTTCTAGGATAAGACAATTTATACCTTCTTTTTCCTTGGATTTTGGATGTTCCACGAGTATCATTTTCATTGTCCATTATGCGGAAACCATCTTGATGTGGTTCATTTTTTAATGCAGTTTGCTTATCTTCAGACGATGTTTTAGTTTCACTCAATAATGATGATTCTAGCTGTTCCATTACACTTGTAGAACCTCCAATTTTATGATAATTAATTAAATGTTTCCTTAAAGATAATACTTTTTGTTGACATAATGTACACTTGACAAACTGTGTCGATGTAGTAGGCGGCGAAGTAGTAGTTTCAACTTTGGTAAGTTTTGTCCTTGTAGTCATCTTTTCACCTGAATCTTTATTATCAGAAAGTTTTTCAGAATTGTTCTTTTCTTTGCTAATGGAAGAAACTTGACGTGCTCCATTGAATTTCTTTCTGTTTAAAGCGTTATGTTTCAAACGTTTACGTTGAACAAGTAAGGGAAGGACAATTCCATGTACTCTTTCTGAATGCTTTCTTAAGGATCGTCTTTCTAAGTATTGGTTACCACAGGTAGTGCAAGGATATAATTTCTTTGTTCTTAGAACAGAAACCTTAAAAGGTGGCACTGCGTTATTACTCTTCAATCTAAGTCGACTCTTAACATATGATACAGATTGCTCAGCCTTATCCAAATGTTGCACCTTTTCCTCATTCTTTTCCTCTTTATTTTTATTACAATCATCATTAGTTGGCACTGTTAGCTTCTCAACCTGTACAGTCTTTATTAATTGTAATGTTTCCCAAATTTTATCACATCTCTCCAATAAAACAACGGGATCCTTTATTGTAGGTATGAATATCGGAAAGTGTAACGTCGAAGATTCATCCTGTAATAAAAAATATATAATTTTCAATTATGTACTTTTACAATATATCTTATTTAATTTTTCTTTATGTTTTACATCTTAATAAAATACTAATTAAAGTAAGAGAAAAACTAATAATTTCACATAAACATATGACACAAGCTTCAGAGACACATAACCAAAAATCAGTGATCAGAGTTTTTCCAGTAAAAACTAATGATTGTCGCAACAGATTAGATTCCCATATTAGATAAGTAACGACAGATTATCAATAATAAGTTGGAATAAATAACAAAGTCAAACACGCACGCACGCACACACACATATATATATATATATATATATATATGTGTGTGATATATAACAATACAAAACATTAGCAATCGAGTCATATCATCCTAACCAACACAAACGTGAAAAGCGCGGTAAAATGATTGCTAACGAAACAACAGCATTTTTTAATATCTTTTTTTTTTCTAAAGATGCAGAGGACGAATTTTCCTGAAATTAAAATAACGAGCATTTCGACGTAATGCGTGACACGATTGATGAAGCAACTCATAAATTCCCACACTTACAAATGCCAATGGGTCATCGTTGTTCGAGGTGACCAATTCGGTATCTGGTTCCGGCTTGCATTCAATTTGGAATTCGGTGAGGTTTGAAGACGGTATCAATATCGTTGTATCATCCGTGTCCCCGTGGATGGTCGTAGTGTCGTCAGCCATTCTAGGACAGGATGCAAATGGTGCAGTCTGCGGGAAAACAGATGGTATTTGAATCTCTTCCGAAACGAGTACGTTGGCAGTGTTGTTGATCGCGAACTGTTGCTGGCCACTGTCTGTGTCTGGCTGATTCACGGCAATCTCGGAGTCTTTCTTAGACTCTACCGTATCACAGCATGCTTCTTTCTCGGCGCCATTCGACATGATTGCTAGACGATAGTCCCTCTCTGTTCGGCGCGCTACGACCCTTTACTGTTCTTTCCTCGTCTCAACACACGTCTTCTCCTATCCTTAACGGACTGGAGAGACGCGTTGGGACGCGTTTGTGTCGAACCTCTCCTCAATCCGACCGACCCAGCTCTCCGACCACTATCGAAACTGATCCCAGTGCTGGATAGGTGGCACTAGTCCAATGGGTGTACTGATGGGCACTCTCAATTGGGACTGTTTACTTCGACGTACTTTTGTTGATTTTATACCTACACAATATTAATTATATTCAAACTTTAGAGAGTAGGAGAAGGTACAGGCAAAGGGTAAATAGTATAACGAATTTAGCGAGACGTAATAATAATATTAATAAAAACAGTCATTCCTTGGCGTGTGTTTCCGACCATCAGAGTAACCGCATCAGTTACAAAGACTAATCTCAAAACAAACGAATCGATATTTTTTCTGAAAATTTTTCCAATCTGATCATCTCAATAGATATTGCATCACAATGCGCAATAAACAAAACTATATACAAATAGGTAGGAATTTTAATGTGCTCTAATGCATATCAGCGTGCAAAACCCAACGCATGAACGAATTCTAATTCTAGCATACCTACATGAGAGCAGGTATGATTGCATGCTTGTCATTAAAGAAATCGAGCATCGTCTGATTCCATCTTTAATTGGGAACAATAGAACGGGAAGTTTCTCCTAGAAACACGACAATCGTACGTCTCGATCGAAATACGTATTACACATATTCCAAAAGCTAAATATCAAATTGGTATATAAATAACTTAATCTTGCAATGAAAGTTCAACGGGAATTTCCGAAGAAATTTCTATTAGGAATGATCAGAATAAAATGCCGTTTATTACTAAAATTAGAATTGTATAATTAGTCAAAGTATTCGTTCGATGTAACTGAAATCCTCGTCAGTTTCCGAACATCGATCTGATATCTCTCGTAAAAAGGATACTACACTCAATAAAAGTTAATTAATAAGGGTCGACAAAAATAACATCCGATCTCTCTCTCTCTCTCTCTCTCTCAGTACTTTATTATTTATTCATACATCCCAGTATACACCAAGGTATCCTAAAATTTACTAAGGTTTCCAAAAGCAGTTGAGAATAACTCAACCCGCGCGACTGGCATTTATTAAAGGGATGAATCAAATGTTATTAACTTTTCATTTAATTTATTTAACACAATGATAAATCAATTTGTTTATTAAAGACAACTTACTTTAGCGTTCAAGTTAAACTAGATTTATTCGTTAAATTGTACACATTTTTACAATCAATTACAGGATTACTTTGATACAATCAATTGTAGGATTATTTTGAAAAGTTACCGAAAATATCAAAATACTATACATGCCTTATTTTCGATTATTTGCTGTGCTATACACACTTTGATATTGTTAAGAGATAAAACTAAGAACTATTGATCAGATTGAGGAATTGAAATGAGACTTGTCGTGAACAGCCAGACTTCTTATATATCTCATCGTAAATCTGGGTAAATTATATGAATTTTAATATTTTCAATTTTCCACGATATTGTTATGTGTTTCGTGATTGATACGCGTTTGACAATACATTTTGTTATACTTTGCAAAAAAATATATCATATAAAAAATTTGTTTGCCAATTATAAAATTAAGTAATAGGTCTTTGCGGTTATCGTTCCGTCACTGCGTGCTATCACGCGATTGGACGATGTAGTCTTGAGAATTGCTTGAGTTTGAGTATAGTCGAGAACACATACAGTCGAGAACCTTGGACGAGTCCAAGTTTGGAGATAAAGCAATTCTCGTTGAATTTTACATCCCATCTCGATTTCGTTTACGTATCACTCGTATACGCTTATGTCTAGATTCGCCCAACGAGAAGATCCCGTACAATCCGATCTATGCATTGAAATTCCGTTATACGTAACATAACCCGATGCGTAACATGCTACGATATCGTCATCTATGCGAAACTTGGGTCTCTTATAAATTACGCATAATAAGCATATAATGATATAATTTATAGTCTATCGCGTTACTCAATATCGCGGCGATGAGATATCTATTGTTATCGATGTTATAAACGTTCATTCACCTGAGATTTCGAGAGAGACACAGTCGATTTCGTACGCCTGTTGTGTAACGTATACAGACTTCGTCAATAGAGCCAGGGCAGACTGTCGTGTAGCCTCAGCTGCCTCAGCGTCCGTTCCCTTTATACAGTAGACTCATGCGCACAATAAGAATTCTTGAAGCACAAAGACAATGCGTGTAGTCAAGTAACAGACGTTCAAAGGACCGAACTTGAGAAACAGGAGCTAAAGCTAATGGGAGAGATGTGAACATGTAACCCAATTCTGGACGAGTCCATTTTTACCTACAGCACGTGACAGACCAAGCCTCGCTTTTTTTCGGCTGTGACTAATTTTATGATGGTTTAATCATGCGTCGTAACCTTGGTCGCAACTATAAGCCCTAGTAGGGCTGTATATCTGAGAATTTGGAATCTCATTCCACTACAAAAACCCTTTATTTCATCGATACACATATACTACGATTGGGGATACCACCGGTGCTCCCACGGTGCCTTTACTTTGCCTACACGGCACTCTCTGTACCAAATATGTAGTTTTATTAGTAAGGTTTATAATGATGTGAACAATAACAATTTGCAACACTTGATCCGTTGTTATGGTCGTTTACAGTCGATTAGATCGCGAAAGATCTAATAATTCATTCTAGACCACTGGAAAACACCTCATTCCCATTCAATTTTGTATCGACTGATAAACATGTTAGCATTTTACCAGAGAATGCATTTTTTTTTACCGGAGTGAAAGATTCATCTTGGATGTTTGTAGGTTGTTTACAAAGGTTTTTTCTAAATTGATCTAAATTAGTCTAAAATTACATGTTCAAACTTGTAATATAAACTGCAATGCGATTATTAAAAAAAGTATCTATTGTATAATACATTCTCTCATTTTGCGCGTTAACTGTACCATCTAAAATAACCCTTATTAAAACCCCTAGCATCATTTATCATTAACCCTGATGACAAATTGAAATCTAAAGAGAAATCGAATAGCCATTTCAGTCAAACGAAACCAGGTGGTCTTTTTGATAATTCTAACATTAAAAGCGCGGACAAGCGTAACCATAGAAAAACCGTATAAACCGTGAATTAACAATGCGTGCAAATGGGTAATCAATTGATAGTCCCCGTTTTAGGCCGGTCAACCAGTCCAACCCATACGAGTAATAACGGATAAGCGTATGTAATTTGCATTCATACGTAATACAGCACAATAGCGTGATATCGTGGTCCCAGGTTCGCGGAATAAGTGACTAGCCATCTTGCTGTGCCATGACGAGATTCGGATTCTCTCTTGTTGTAAGTTGTATACATATACTGTAAAAGTTACGATGATTAACCGATTGAGAGATTGAGATCGGAACAGATCGGAACGAGTGCGACAAGGCCGATGCTGTTTACGTTTATAGCTAATGCAGGCTCAGCTTGATTCCTCGATAAAATTGTGGCACTAACGAGATCGTCATGCTATGCACTTCCGCCGAAGGACATATAAAACCGCACGCGCTTCTATGCCCGCACTCAGAGTGGTGTTGTTTGTCCGATTGCAAAAATGCAACCACTTTCAGGTGTCTTGCTATTGCTTCTTACCTGCCAGCTTGCTACGCCAACACCAATTTTCGATAGAGGTGCTGTACATTGTAGTTGTTCATAAGAGTGCTAAATTAATTATATCTTACAGTATAAAGGACAATAAAGTGCAGAATTGAAATAATCGATATTATAGTTGAATTAAACATGTATTTAATTACTATCTCAAGTTCTTGAAATGATTAGTTGTCCCGATTAAAGAGAAAAGAAAAGAATGTAGTGTCACAATTCCCGGTTTTGTGCGAAGAAAAATGGAAATATTAGGGTGTCTTCCAGCAAACGACACACTGTAACACAGTGATCATTTTATCTTGATTTAATGTGTTATGTTGTGTCGCTCGCTGAAAAGCATATCTGGTACATAAGTTATAGTTTTAAATTCATTAAAACTTAATATCTTTAAGCAAAGATAGAGATATCTATGGTATATATTTGTAACATCAATAAGTATATCTGTGATTAAATGGTCAGATTTTCGAATTACGTCAATTTTTACAAAATTATATAAACTAAAAAGGAATTTAATAAGGTTGTAGTTAAACTGTACTACTCAATTGTGATGTATATAGTGAGCAATCTATATGCTATAAATTCTATAATTTTTTAATATTTTGCTCAATGCAAATTTGTCTTAGATGGAACAAGTTTTCAAGGTCGATCAACTGGATTCGGAGAAACAATACGAGATTGGTTTAAAATGATCAAGGACCGAATTGTGGGAAAATGGCGAGAGTGGTTTGGCAAAGATGGTCCAACTCCGACTTTATCACCGCAGGATATTTTGAATATTGATAAGACCTTGGAGAGTCGAATATCGGGCTATCCAGGCTTGTTCTTAGATTTGTGTAAGCAAAGTTCAATAACATGAAATTTAGAGTCAGTATCCGTAGAGTTCTTCTTCTTTTATTCTTTGTCAGATAATAAAGCTGAAACACACATAGGATGTTAAATCATGTGTTTATGCTTCGCTACGAAACATAATTGAGCGATTTCGACGTTTTACGTGATGCGTCACTCGTGAATGTCATATGAGAGATACAATTAGGATTATAGCGTATAATACTACGTATATTTTTCAAAGGTTTCCACGATTGCATCCTTCCAAGCAACTTCTAGACGAGCCAGATTTAACTTTCCTATTTTGTCGATTTTTTCATACTAATAGCTAGCTTATCGTTCGACCCAAAACGAGATTGGGGCGTGCGGATTGGTAACTGGTACATCATCCGGAAAATTGCAGGCAATGATTACAAGGACAGCGATTCGGATGAGTGGGACATAATGCCCATTATGCCGAATTTGCCATCACCTCCTATATTTGGGATCGACTGGACGCCTGACTTCAGTAAACTTCCAACAGAAATTCCGAGAACTACGCAACCTTCAACAGCTACACCAAAGATCGAATTGACTACATCGAGACAACAGACAACCACCAAAACTATTGCTCAAACGCAATCAGATTTAACTTCGACCGAATCAACAGTAAGAACCACCGAGGCTATCATGACTTCTACCGAATCGATTCCACTTACTACCCAATTAATTACAACTTCTATAGAGCCGAATATAGAAATTGATTCATCAAGTGAAGAAATTATAATTTCCAGTGAATCTGTTATAATAAATAGTGTGCCGGTTGCAACACCTACTGAACCTACATTAACATTTAACGAGTCAATTACTGAATCAATTGTTTCGTCAATTGATACTACTATGTTTTCCATCACGTCGACATTATCCACTGATCTGACTTCTATCAAATCGACTGAAACGTCTATCGAATCTACTGCAGTTTTTAATGAAGCAGATATTACATCCTCTGAGGAATTAACTACTATTACTACCACTGACTCACCCGAAACGTCCACCGAACAAATTTTACCTTTCTTTAATAAGCGAGTAGAAGATAATGAGACCGTCAATAAACGCACCACAAAGAAACCTCGTCCAGCATCTGCCGAAGTAATAACGTTTTAAAACAGATTGCGTATTATAAAAAGAAAATTCAGGTGTATCTTGATTTTCAATGTTTTTTTTAATTAAGTTTTAAAGTACGTAAGTTGTAAGTACATATTGATATTAGACATAAAAATATTAATATATATACTGAAACTAGAAAAGTAAAAAAAAATAATAGCGCATTGATTCAATATAATAAATTTTTTAACGAGGTATTTTTACGAGATGTCAAGAAAAATGCACGTGATAGAAACAGGTTTTCATCAAGAAGAATACACGTTTATTCCGTAAAATTTATTATAATTTTGGCGCTATTCCATAGTAAAATATAATAACTTTTACGTTGATGATTGTGTGGTCTTCAAAATGGCTTCTTTTACTGTAATAGAAAAAAATGTATGTATGTATAAAAAATAATATATCTTCTTTCTTACTTAAAATCAATTTTTTAACATGCACATAACCAATTTTAATACAAATTATTATAGCAATAGGATAGCACATACATACATATATCAGTAATTAACATATAAAGCATGTTCTAAAGCGTATTAATTGAATATAAAAAAATATATGCGTTAACAAAAAATACAATATAACTTTATATTCAAGAATTTTCAAAATTGTTTAAACATTAGCAATTTTTGCATATTTAATTTCATATTAATATAAAATGCAAATGTAACACAGAACAAACTTTAAAATAAAATAAAATTGTTACTTTGTTAATATATTTATAATTCTCTCTCTCTCTCTCTCTCTCTCTCTCTCTCTCAAAGTTTTTAAGTAAGGAAACATTAAGCATAAACTCACAAGTTTATTTCATTTTTTTTTCTTCTGAAGGAAGTAATCTAATTTAGTAATAACTACTTTCTAAAAAATTTGATTACTATAGCAAAAGTTCAATTTTAATTGTAATGATGTAGATAATATATTAGTATAAGTTTACAATTAAAGTATTAAGCACCAAAATGCAAATATAAGTAATTAAGTCTTATACTTAATTATACATTTTCTAAATCTACACTCTATGTACATCATTAAAGATGCTTATTATACGATATAAAAATATAATATGGCCTATGTGTAATATTATAATTTTCATATCATGAAAATATAATAAAACATTACAATTTTATATTACTATGAATGAACAAACTACTGAAACATTAGAATTACATGATTAGTGAAATAATAATTAAATCATAAAAATATAATATCATATATTTGTGCTGTTAATGAATAAAAAAAATATTAGCATGCTTATATAATTAATACAGAACAAAAGTATAAACTTAAAAATTTGCATGCTGACCCTGATTAAGCAATAAGAAATTGCTCCTCCAGAATTCTGTAGTACAAATGATGATCATTTTTCTATTTCCTTCCCTAGAATGTAAATAAGAAGCGTATACCACCATAGCATGCATAATAGACAATGAACCAAAGGAAAATTTATTTCTGAATTGTCCATGAATATTATTATATTATTAACGAAAAATATTTTGTAAGCAACGAGCGTCCGACTTATTTTTCTCGGCCCAGCTTACAATTTTATATATACATTTTTATTGATAATATAATATTCATTGTATTGTGTGAGAAATATAAAAGGTTAAACCAATCAAATATTATATATAAATCTATTGAATGAATATTTATCATTTATTTAAAGTTATCTATTTAATATATAATACTAGGAATTTGTAAATTATGCCATAAAAAAAATTCGACATGTATATAAACTGTCTGATTTTATTAATTAGAGTAGTGCATTGATATAATGAATTAACTTAATAGAACAAAGAAAAAATTACAATAGATGGAGAGAACATACATAATTTAAAGACAATTACAACTTTGATACAAGAGATTTTAAGTTAAAGCCCATGTGATTAAAAAAAAGACATGCATAAGATATTTTATACCAATAAGCATTAAGAGAGAAATTTTTTTGCAATGTTAACATTCGAGTAATAGAGAAATATGATCATGTTTATGGAAAAGATATATTATGACATTACTTCACCTACCTTTTTAGATGCTGCTCCAACTTTACTCTTTTTAGTACCCCTAACTTTCTTCATTCTGTTCTTACGTTCCTTACGCTGTTTCCTAGTTTGTTTTTGTTTTTCGAAAAGGCCATGCCTTGCTAGCCTATATTTAGGTTCAAATTTCTTTGCGAAATCCAAGGTATCATAGATGAGCGCAAATCCAGTAGATTTACCACCACCAAAGTTAGTTTGGAAGCCAAACACAAAGACAACATCTGGAGTCACTTTGTACATCTTGGCTAATTTCTCTCGAATCTCGGTTTTACGAACTGATGGTTGGCCAGGATGGATAACATCTACAACCTACAAAATAAAAAATTCATCGTATAAATTTTCATATGTAATGGGTGGGTTAAAGTCATGGATATTTGATTCTCAAACTCACCATTTGTTTTCGACATAAAAGTCGATTGGTCATGAACTTTCTCGTTCTGATGGTAGCTGTACCTTCCGTCTATAAGCAAAAATTAAAAAATGCTTTTTTATTTGTATGTTAGGTTAGGTTATTTATTAGACATCTTGAGCGTATAGAAATAGAATGTCAAATACTATAAATAAGTGAATACAAATAAAGAAAAAGTTAATATTATGATCTTATTAACTCAAGCGTCACAAATAGTTACACAATTATAATCATGTATTTCTCAATTAAGGTTATGTCATGTGTCGCGTTTGATTAATTTTACTCTATCTGAATTGGTACTTTCTGAACGTGATATACATGACACATACTTTATTAGATGCCATCGTTAAATATTTAATTGAATATTGTACGTTTCGTTGAATGATTATTACAGAATTTCTCGATACAAATTACGTACCATCTTGATCGGTTACGTTGATTATTGTACCGCTTCGAAAAAGATACATTCGGAAATATGTACCGCCATCTACGAAAGATCGCATGGCAGCATTGGCATCCGGACACCGCGTGTATTTTAATTATACAAATGTAAAAAAATTGTATTATTCTCTAGCTTTTTCTCTTTTGGCGCTGTAAACTTTCTATAAAGTAAATTGTTTGCAACTCTGAGTAATTTTTAATTTTATATTGTATTTGTCGCTGATGATGATCCGAAACTAAGGATCGAAACGTTCGACATAATATCTAACATGTTTTAGATTTTAAGATTATATATTTTTTGCGCACTGCTAACAGCGTTGACTCTTAATAGCCTTTATGTTTTTACTTTAATTTTTGTAATTGTTTGAAACATATAAGAGAGTCTAAAATTCAATTATATTATTAATTTATTAAAATTTTTTATTATATAAAATAAATTATTCCAAGGACAGAGAGTACTTAAAAAGTATAGCAAGAATAATAAAAAACTCTCTCTTGGATTATTGTTTTATTGGAAACAAAGAATATAGCCAAAATGATTACAAAAGTCTGTGACGTACAGATTGTTACAAACAAAACAGAAAAAAATACAGACGGCATATTTTTTTACATGTAATTTTTTTAAAGAGCTAGAAATAAGGGTCATAATTATCGAGCGTGAATCTGCATGATCGACGCGAATTTGTGACAGAGCTTTCGATAAAGACCGACGTTGTGCGCTTCCACCAACGTCGGCAGCTGATTGGCGCTCGACTCGACTCGACGTTGACCACTGCCGTTCTCTAGGAAGTTTCGAGAACTACAGGCTTGCAATATCGGTAGGCGACGTGGGTGCACGGATTCCGGCTCAGTTCGGTACGTGAAACGTTCTGACGTGGATGCGAATATAGAACGAGCGTCGTACGAAACGTGCGCGGTCATTCTAAGACTCCTCGTCGTTTACGCAGGTAAGTGAGACTCTCGCGAGACTCTTGTCGTCAGGGAGGACGATCCATTCGCCGATCTGACGGCGTGGACCGGGTGCGAACAACGGGCGGCTGAAGTCGCGCGATCGATCGATCAGTTCGTCCGCTCGCGATATTTGTCGTCTCTCTCCCTGGGCAACGTAATCAGCGCTTAGGGTGTCGCGTGAGGCGTCTAAAATTTTCCCAAGTCGGCATTTCGTCGCGGTTTCTTCTTCTGGCTCTGCTGAGCTCTGCGGAGCTCTGCGTAACGGTCACCGAAGCCTGCGAAGGAGGAAGGGAGGGAGGAAACAGGAGCGCCTTGGCGGATGGTCGAAGGTTGCGCGGCGATATATTTCATTACACGCTTGCCTTGATGGACGTTGCGAAGCGGGACGTGAGCTTCGTGCCAGGCGAGTACTATCATTGCGGCAGCGAGCTTCGAAAGAAAGATGGAAGCCTGGCTACCAAGTCTCGCTTGCCCGACTCGTGTTGATTAACGATCGACGCATCGAGGCACCGACTATTGCTAAGAAAAGGAGATAGACGAAAAAAAAAAAGAAAAAAAGAAAAGGAAAAAGTAGAATTCGCTTATCACGAAGAGAGCGTGTTTTTCTCGTGATAACGTAAATGCGTCGTCGTCGAGCGTAAAAATTAGTCACGAGTGATCTGGGCAAACGCTTCGTTATACCAATTTTGTCATCTCTCGATTCGACTTGTGATTCCGAGAACCCGCGTGCTCGGTATACTACCTATGCGAAAGTGGAAGATTCTAGAAAGCTCGGAGAGGCGATCTTTGTTCGCGAACGACACGCGCCTCGCCTTTTAAAATACCTTGCTCGCTAGTCTATTTAATCGTATACTCCCAGTTCTACCGTAGACGCCATTTTGAAATTCGCATGAATCCCGCATGGGTGTTTTATATTCTTTGAATTCACGAGCGTGACTTCTATCTCTACTTCAAACTGCGTGAAAAAACATTTGCACGCGTTGTACGAGAGTTGAAATCAGTCGCGAGAAAAGTGAGAAAAAGGATGAAGAGACAAACATTGGTACAATTTACGCTTCAACAAATCTTTTCACTATTTTCAATTCTTTAGTTCAACTCTTAAGTAATTAAGCTGGTAGTTCTCTTACTTGGGTACCAAGTGTTCTTTTGGTACTTATCGTATCTTATATAACTTTACTGTTTATCAATTTAAATATTCATAAAACGACTCCCAAGTTACATGTGTTTATTGCCTGATATCTGACCATGTTGGAATTTATGAGTCTAGATTCAATTATGCAACACTACAAAAATGATGCATTCTGCATTTAAAGTTATGAATTAATTATGAGTTGAACTTGGTTATCTTTTTGGTTTTGCGCATGTATGTTGTAACATCATGAGCTGTTTACTTCATCGATATAATGAAATTGTTCCTCCAGTCATTCTCTGATGTCATTTTGTCGTTAGTTAAAATGCGTTTGACATTTTGATAGAATGGTATTGTGCATTATTTTTTTAAAGAAATATAAAATTTGTATTTCAAGCATTCCTATCTATGGGTGAAGTTTTTTCATTATTATGTCATTGAATCTATTTTTGTAGCTGTACACTTATCGTTCTCTGATGTTATTTTATCAGCAGATTAAATGTATTTGATGTTTTAAACTTATTATGCAGTGTATTCTATTTAAAATAGAAAAAGATACATATTCAAAGTTTTGTTTCAAATGAGATGTAAAAAGTTTTAGTGCAGTCCAATGCGGTAACAAAGAATAGACTTATGTATTTATAATGGCAATGTAAAAAATTAAAGCATATTTTTTCTTGTTTACAGCAGCAAGAGTGATTTAATATAACACTAACTACTTAACATACCGTGAAAATGGTTAAGGAGACTACATTTTATGACGTATTGGGCGTAAAACCTGGATGCTCGCAGGAAGATTTGAAGAAGGCCTATAGAAAGCTTGCTTTGAAATATCATCCTGACAAAAACCCTAATGAAGGAGATAAGGTTTGTACGAATCTTATCATTTGGAATACTTATTAATTAGTTTATGTATAATAAAATTTAATATTATAAAATTTATGTTTTAGTTTAAACAAATTTCTCAAGCTTATGAAGTATTGTCAAACCCAGAGAAGAAGCGTATCTACGATCAGGGTGGCGAGCAGGCTTTGAAAGAAGGTGGCATGGGTGGTAGTGGTTTCTCTTCTCCAATGGATATCTTTGATATGTTCTTTGGAGGAGGATTTGGTGGACGAGGTGCAAGAAGGAGAGAACGCAGAGGTCAAGATGTAATGCATCAATTATCAGTTTCCCTCGAGGAACTTTACAAAGGAACTGTGCGTAAACTGGCTCTACAGAAGAATGTTATTTGTGAGAAATGCGAAGGTAACGGCGGTTATATGGAGATCGTAATTTTAGAAAGGTCTAAATCTGTGTAAATATGGAGAATATGATCTCTGTCGTTTTCCAATTAGGTGTCGGTGGTAAGAAAGGTTCCGTTGAACAATGTTCGACATGTCATGGTTCCGGCTTGCAAGTACAAATTCAGCAATTAGGTCCGGGAATGTTACAACATTTACAAACCATGTGTGCAGATTGCAAAGGACAGGGAGAACGTATCAATCCTCGTGATCGTTGCAAATACTGCAATGGAAGAAAGACTATTAGAGATAGAAAGATACTTGAGGTTCACGTTGATCCAGGAATGGTTGATGGTCAAAAGATAACTTTCAGTGGCGAAGGTGATCAGGAACCAGATTTGGAACCTGGCGATATAGTTATTCTTCTCGAAGAAAAAGATCACGATGTATTCAAGTTAGTAGTATTTGGATGGAATATATTTATTAACTGCTCATTTAAAAAACTGTTACTAATACGTTGCGATCAATTAAATTATAGGCGTTCGAGGAATGATCTGATTATGCGAATGCAACTAGAACTCGTAGAGGCATTATGTGGATTCCAAAAAGTTATCCGTACTTTGGATGGTAGAGATCTAGTGATAACCTCACTTCCCGGCACTGTGACGAAACACGGTGACTTGAAATGTATCTTGAACGAGGGCATGCCGATTTACAAGGATCCATTTACACATGGCAGACTTATAATACAATTTATAGTCAATTTCCCGAAGAACATAGACCCGTCGCTTATTTCGTCATTGGAAAAATGTCTGCCGCCGAGGGAAGAAGTTATAATTCCAGATGGTGCCGAGGAGTGTTTACTTACCGACTTGGATCCCGAGCAGGAGCAAAGGCGGAGAGATACGAGACAAGCGTACGAAGAAGACGAAGGAGGTCCATCGCGAGTCCAATGTGCCACACATTAATTTGATTACACTAACCCTGTAATAAACATAGCCGTTTCTTTCATTTCAAACTCTGTCCCATTCACTCGTTTCTGTATCATGCTAAAGAAAGAAACAACATGGATATGTAGGCCAACTATTCAATGAGTGAGAAAGATATTGAAACAATTCTACTGTTTGGACATGTGCAAAAAAAAAAAAAAAACAGTGAGTACTGCAATTATTGATTTTTTAATTTTATCTAATCTTGAAAAGAATGAAAATTTATACGACTAAAGCTTCATTATGATGAAGTATCTTATTGAGATATCTTTTATGTGGAGAGGTTTCTCATTGAAGCTTCTGATTTTTCGAGCATACTTTTTAGGATATGTTTCTGGTATTTTCTTAACAAATGAAATGGTAGGGATGAATTACGGACACATGATTAAGGCGGATAATACTTGTATACGGATATAAATAATAATAGTCTCTCTCATTTCTTGCATTCAGTGATAATCTGATATATTTCGTGCTTTTCAGCAAGCGACACAGTGATAATTTTTGTTTAACATTGGCAAACAATAAAAATGTAATGATTGACTGTGTTGCACTGTATCAACTTTGTTTCTTGTTAAGGACCATGGCACACGAAAACCTTAAGCGAATTGACCAATTATAGTAGAGTCCGTAAGGACATAACGTAAGCAGTAGCCAATCCAACATGTTGATTTCCTTATTGCTTACGTCATACTGTTTTCAGTTTTTTGTGTGCCACAGTCCTAAGAAGGAGTTAATATCGTACAAGTGACTATAGAACGCACACGTTGTTTAATAGAGTTTTCTCTTGGCTGTGCATTATCATCACTCACCAGTGCAACACTCGAACAGAGTAGCGTGTTGCCTTGGCTGGTAGTAGGTGAACTCATTCAGTGTAACGTGTTTTCGTGGCTATAGTGTAGTGCAAATTTTATGCACAAAGTGGGATTTTGCTACACGATCTCAAAAGGACGGTGTAGAGCCAGTGTAATATTTAAAATTTGAAAATGGAAGTCAATCGGCAGCAGGATTAAACACGATAGCATAAAGTATTGTATACCATGGTGTATATACACTACTGTATATAGTGCAGCACTGGTACAGCACTTACATGCGATTGGTGTAGCGCTCGGTTACACTCAGTGTATCCCAAGAGAAAACTATAAGATAAATATCACTACATATTTTCGATGAATTTAGAGCAGGGGAGAATGGGGCAATCGCAAATATTTGAGGGAAAAGTTCAATAAAGCCGGCGATCATCAAATATAGAAGTCTTCAAATCAAAGGAATTGTGTGTATTATTAATATAAATTATAATTTTGAACAAAACGTGTTACGATTTGTTCTGAATGGTTTTATCTTTTATTTAAAATTATATTGATTTATATTGCTATGTGAATGTATTGTAATTTAAATTTAAACAACTAGAGTAGAGTTTTAACAAAGACTTATCAACGGATAGACACTCATTATTAGTTTTATTTAATTTTTTATTTAGCTGTAATAATTTCTTTATTCTCCCCTACAAAAAAAAAATCTAATGTCCGAATTAGGCAGATCGATAAAATCACATTTATTGTATTATAACGTGTCTGAAATGGTAACATAAAATTCTTTAAAGAAATAATTGTATGTTCTTGCGCCCTTTGTTGATATTGTTAATATCGCCTATTTTTTTTATCTGTATCTGTGGGTGAATCGAGGGATATCGTTTATTCGCTTCTCAATAAGATGTTTCAATCAAAATTTCACTCATTTCTTTTCGCTTATTGTAAATATTCGTCTATATACTCATGTTATTTCTTTCAATAGAGGATTACTAAAAATATGTACTTATCATTACACAATGATAAGAAAATTTGAATTTATTTAGATGTAACGTAAAGGTTTCGATACCCGTTGTCACAACATAATGAAAGGCATCATGTATTGTCGAACATCGCGATTGTCTCTGCTGTTTGACCAATTATATCGCTCCAATAACCAACTAGCTGCTCGACAGTGATTACTACATGGCTAAAGTTAGAATTAAATTTCATAAATATATATATATATATACATATATATATTTAGTTCAATTTTGTGGAATATCCGTATATACATGATTACTTCCTTCAGATATTGATAACAGCAAACTTGATTACTCCAAATCTTAAAGTCTGAAAATTGTTATCTTTTACAGTTTTCTAGAATTTGAAATAATAATATCGAGATGTATCAATCGATGTGGAAACGGTATAAACTACGCTTGGTTAAAGCCTTAATGTTATCAATTGTATTAGAGATCTCGAAGAAATTTTTCAAAGTGGGACATTATTCCATATTCGTAGTATTTAATTTTTTCCAGTCGCTTTTGTATACTGGCGTGTGACGATGATAAATGGAAATATACAATTTTGTTTGCGAATAATATGCAAATAAAATGGGGAATCAGGTTCCTGTGTGTGTGGACGATTGCGCGTATTTATAAACAGCTTTGTGCAATTATATTGTATCGAATCTAACCATTTTCCTTCTTTACATTTGCCAATGCTGAGATTTTATTATATATTTCAGTAAAAACAGTGGTCGTTTAGTAATTTCCTTACTAGAAATTTGTGTAAACAAAAATTACCTTTTCATAATAGATATATTTCTACAAGTTTGTTCGGTCATATTTCACCATATCTTCATCTAAACGCGCATGAACAAATGCTCTAGAGATCTAGCTAATTCATAGATCCTGTTGTACTATATTAAATTAATATACTTTCAACACACATTCACACATAATTTACTATATACATGGTACTCGTCCACAGTTACTATAGCGAATTTTAATAAATAGCCACATATGTCTTGTAATCTTATTTATTATAGGAAAAATTGGTGATTGATTAGGTACTTTTTTTGAGCGTCTCAAATAAATTTGGAACTGTACAATGGGATTATCGATTTTATACTTGCAGAATCGAACCTAAAATTCCTCACATAGTTCAATTACTCGAAACATTCGTTTCATGTAATTTTCCTCCAATTTCTTACTAATTCGTTATGCAAATAAACGCGTCGATTAATGTGTGTGATATAATAATACATTTTACTTATAAGATAGTTTCTTTAACTTTTAAAAATAGCTTACATATCAAAATAAATTTTAAATGTCAGTAGATTCTATATTATTTGAATTTGCTCAAACTAGTAAAAATTGAATAATAAGTAGTAAGAAACAAATAGGTATAAAATGAAATTAATTAAGTGATAAAAAATTTAATATTTTTGTGTTTACTAATTCGCATACTCGATTGTTATTCGATGACTAATCAAAGTTGCAATTATTCGCTAATTCGTAATTGATCTACACGAAGGTTCATAGTAAAGAGATTAACAAAATGTCGATTCATGAATCGCTCGTTATTTTGACTATGACTGGCGGATTCAGTCGTTCCGCGTGAAAGAGGGAGGGAGAGAGAATATCCGGCGCGGGGACGACCGCGAAATTAACGCTTGCCCCGTCCGATGGATAGCGGCACTATCGCTCGCCGATTGCCGCGCGCCGCGCCGCGTCGTGTGGGTCGATGTTTTTAGCGACGGGTTTAGTGACGTGCGAGTGGCCTGAGGGAGAGAGGCAGAGGTAGAGTAGAGGCAGCAGTCAGCGGAGCCAGCCGTCGGGATGCCGCAGAGGTTTCTGGGTATGCGGTGGGAGCCATATTTTTTCAATATCAGTTACGCGAAAAGAGCGTAGCGTACGGGGACGGGGCTCACAGCAGCATCTGGCGGGCACGGCATTACGAACGGCGGTATACGTTTTTAGCAGGCGGTGAGTGATCGGGCGCGTTAAACGCAGGACGACGAACGCGCCGATACGACGAGTCGTCGCCGCGTCCGCGCCGCTACCATCGCTCGTCACGAAAAATACCGTAATAACCGCGCGATAGCGGGGAGGTGAGGCCCCCGTGAGAAACGGAGTAGCGCGCAGGTGTTCCAGAGGGTTAGTTAACTTAACCCGACTCCGAGTTCGTAACCGCGCTCCCGTAGTAGTAGTAGGAGGTAGTGGTGCTGCTGTTGTTGTTGTTGTTGGTGGTGGTGGTGGTGGTAGTAATATCAAGCAGTAGTGGTACCAGCCAGTGGAAATGGTAGTGATGATGATGGTGGTGGTGGTGGTGGAAGAGTGCTGGTGGTGGTGGTGGTCGTGATACTCGCTGCTGCTGCTGCTGTGACGATGACACAGCGTCATAACACGACGTTCGTTCGTCCGTGCGCGATTTAACCCGAATCGTTACGCCAGTGGCGTAAAGTGTTTTTTGTACGGTGTGCGCGTTCGCGCCATATTACCGATCGAGCGCCGACTTGAGGCGACTCCAGTCGAGTCCGGCGCGATTAAACCCGCGTATACGCAGTCAGTGTCGAGGGAGATGGCACATCGTTCGGCTGTGTTATCATCGTGAGCTTCGCATTCGTCGGAATTATCGTGTCGCGTGACCGTACGAGACGGTTTCTCCCCTCCTCACATAATTGAGTGCGCGCGCGTCTTTGCGTTAGTTCGGAGTGCATAACGCGATTCGATCGAGGACGGAGGAGTAATAATGTGTAGTGGTGGCTGTGAGTAAAGCGCGGAGCCAGGGGTGTTAACCCGCTCTCTCGAAAGACTCGTCTCGTATAGCGAGTACTAACCGTCGTGAATTTAGCCGCGACGCAATTGAAAGAATCTTCGGTCCGTCGTCGATTTTACGTTGCGTCGCTCCGGCGCGGCGGGGACCGCAAACGGACCGTCGTCGTTGTCGTCGTCGTCGTCGTCGTCGCCGTCGTCGCCGTCGCCGTCGTCGTCGCCGTCGTCGTCGTCGTTGTTGTTATTGTCGTCCCTACCTTGAGTCGCAAGCGAGACCTTGCGCGCGCGTACGTAAGACTCTCTCTCTCTTTCTCTCGTCCGCGCTTACTCCGAGACGTAATTCCTCGCTGATAAACAAGCGGCTCGCCTACGCGCGTCGGCCCGCCGCCGCCGGCTATGAGAGTTTCGAGTGAAGCTAGCAGCAGTCGCGACCTTGCTCGACGCCGCTGCCGCTGCCGCCGCCGCCGCTGTCGCCACCACCTCCACCTCGCGCACGATCATGCTACGTAACGACTCGCGACTTGTGCAACGTTCGGCCGCGCGGCAAAAGGATTTGACGTGAAACCGGCGAAACATCAGCGAGGCTTCTGCAGGGAAGAGAGAGAGAGAGAGAGAGAGAGGCGGAAACTCGGAGAAAAACGTCAGCCGGCTGTCATCGGCACCCGATGGCGGCATTTCAAATTCCGATCGCGTCCACGTGCGACGACGTGTCGCGAGCTGCGACATTTTGACGAGCGTGCGTCTATCCTCAGGAAAGGAGGCAGAGAGGAGAAGGAGGAGAAGAAAGGCGAGCCAACTGCGGCATCGTCGGCGCGTCCCGCGCCATGCCCGTCGATCTCCGCCGCGTCAAGGAGGTTAGACGGCCATTGACCGGCGGCGAGCAGCGACAGCGTGTACTACGTGCGCCAAACACGCGCCGGTTTCGAGGACGACGCGCGACGTAAGAGAGAGGCGAACGATTCCCGCCGTTTTTCGAAAGGAAGGAATATTCCCTCCCCTTCGGGGGAACCATGTTCGAGCCACGCGATTGATGTAATATTATGTCGTGCTACGTGTGCCGCGCGAAGAGACGCAATTGTACGTGCAGGAACATCGGTGAGAGTGCAAACACCCTACGTCGACCTGCAGGAGCTGCTGCAGGAGGTTCATCGTCGTTGTCGAGCGCGTGAGAAATCGTGAGCCGGCTCGCGCGGAGGATGCGGCAGTACTCGCCGCCGGGGTCTCCACGTAGGCGAGCTACGTGCCACGTCGTGCCAGTGATGTCGTGGGTGTCGTCAGGGTCATCCGCCGCGCTGCTGGATCATGGCCGGCAAGCCTGAGCAGCCGTCCACGCTCCCTGCTCCCCCGAGTCACGGCCATCAGCATCATCAACAAACGCAGCAGCAGCAGCAGCAACATCAACAACAACAACAGTTACAATCGCATCATCCGCAGCAACCTATACAGCAGAATAGCGTTCTGGTATACGTGTCGGGGGAGAACTTCGCGTACGCCACGGCGGTGGGTCAGAATGTCGCCGCGACCGCTGCTGCCGCTATCGCGGTCGGTTATCAGTCGCAACCGGAGCAGCAGCAGCAGCAGCAGCAACAACAACAACAACAACAACAGCAGACGACGACGCAGTACGCCGGTATCCTGCAGGCTCCGCAGGTGGCGATGGCGCAGGCGATTACGACGACCTTTCCCGCCAAAACCTCCGTATATTGCACCGACGATAGCAACGTAGGAAATAACGTCATCACCACCACTACCTCTCCCGCGATCGGCTGTTGCCGTCTGAAGCCGTCACTCGAAACGACGATGACGACGACGACGACGACGACGACGACGACGACGACGACGACGACGACGACGACGACGACGACGACGACGACGACGACGAAGACGAAGACGAAGACGACGGCGAAGACGACGACGGCGACGGCGGCGGCGATGAATCCCGGGACGGATGAAGGCGACGGATCCAGGCATGCTTCTTCTCTGCAGATAAACAATGAGGACGAAGAGGATTACACGATGCTGTATCGACAGGCCAACCTGGGGCATTCGTCGACAGTGTGCGCCACGGCGACGACGACGACGACGACAATGATGACGCGCGATAAGAAATCACGCCTGTCGGAGAACGGAGAGCGCTCGACGGCGAACGGTCTTGGCAATAACGATTCAATGGTGTCCGGCGCAAAGACGTATCAGACCGCCGCGTACTCCACGAGGATGAGCGGCGAGTACCACTCTGTGACGAACAGTAATAATATCGTCGCACGGCGGCCGAATCCGAATCCGAGCGGTCTTCTCGGTGCGGGTGACGACGATTGTGTCGCGTACGGTACATCGACGACGTCCTCCGGTGATAGGAACGGGATCGTCGCGCTTCAAAACGCCGCCGAGCGACAGGCGGCAACGAATGTGGATGACAAGAGCCGGCAGCAGCAAGACGGTTTCGATAGTCAGCAACAGCAGCAGCAAGTCGTCTCTTCGGCTCCGACTTCGGTGATCAGTGTTGGTGACGGTAGTGTTGGTGTCGGTAGTGGTGCGACCGCCGGCTGCGATTCGGTCAGGTCTGACGAGTCATCGACGACGACGACCTACAGCAGCCTCAGTAGTCCTGACGAGAGTCAGAGTCATCAGTCGGGACAGCACGACGGTGGCATGCCAACGAGTAATAATCATCCTGGCGGTGGTAGTGCGTGTGCGCAGCAGGCTGCGCGGCAGCGGCCGCCGTCGCGTGTCAACGGTAGTAACAATGGTGTGCAGCATAACGCAGTGGTGTTGACAATGAACGGCAGTGCAGTGGTTACGCAGCAGCAGCAACAACAACTGTCGACGATCACCGTGCCACGTGGATGGAAAAGGATATGCACCAACGGGGTCATCATTTACATCAGGTGAGTTCTCCGTGTTGTTCGTTCGTTATCAGTCATCAGTGACTCTCGATTTACCTCGAGCGAGAGCTGACACGTATAGAAATGAGGAAAGAGGAAAAAGTAACTCAAAGTGATTAATATGATGTGATTGAGAGATAAGCTTCATCGCGCAAAAATGTTGATATAATATCGAGAATAGTTTATTCCGATTGATAAAAAGAAATCAATTCGTATAAAAAATTAATTTATCTTTCAAGTTTTGTACAATTTATCATTTTTTTAATTATAGAGAACAAATTGTCTTATTTTCTCAATATTTTCAAATTCTCTTGATTATTTTTTAACGTTATGACGGTGACGCAGATTGATAATCACTGGTTTGCGCAACACATGCGTGCCCGAAACGTGGCGTGCCCGAATGTTCTTGGAACGAAAAATTCCATGATGCCCTCGTGATGATGCCCGCCGCGCCACGACTTTATTTCTTTCTTCTGTCTCACGAAAATTACTTGAACGTACAAAGTTAATTTTCGAGCGGGTCGCATTAGCGAGCGCTTTTAATTCGTCGGCTTAAACGGAGCTGACCGACAGCTCGAGGCATCAAATCGAAATGAAAACGCACGTAGCCTTCGTTTTGCTAATGGAATTAAACTACGTCCAGTTTAAACGTATACTGTCAGGTGTGCGGTGTACGAAACACGAGCATCGAGTGTAATTGGTGTTTCTCCAAAATTGATTTATAGAAATTTAAACAGCGAATTGTACGCATGGAGTAATATGTAACGTATTTCTCTTTTAAAGCTAATTTGTTCAAAAATAAATGAAAGGGCTTTATGGCGATTTTTCGGATTCTTCAATAAAAATTTCCTAAATTCTAATAAAAATTTTTTTCAAAAATACGATATTTTTTCTTTAAAATTCTAAATAGCGTTTTGATAGTTCTGTATCGAAAAATATAATTCAAATATTTAAAAAAGCCACGATCAATTTTTTTGTAACACAAACTTAAAATAGCTAATCCATGTCGTCGGATCTTCGTTTGTTACTCTCTGAATTTTTTATAGTGAGATCTCAAAATGAGTGAAAATTGTTCCAATCGATAGCGAGAAAATACCGCTGCTACTCGAGATGGAATGACATTTCATTTTCGTAAAGATAAATCTTTAAGTATAATAAGTGTTTCATTCTTTTCGAGTAAAACTTTAGTCAAAATGACTTCAGTATAAGATTAGGAGTTTTAATTAAAAAAAAGTATTTAAATGTATACGTAAGATAAGTTTTGTTTGTATTTTATCTCTTATAGAAGACATTTCTGTGTAACATCGACTCAACAAAACAATGTCGACACGACGATAAACAGTAGTGTTATTCACTATTCTTGTTTGGCATGTGCACTGTGTTTCTAAATTTACTCTTTAATTATACAAACGAAAAAATTCACTTCACGATACGGAGGGAAAAAAGAATTTATTCTATATGAATGAAAAATCACTGCTCCTCGAGCGATTTGATAATAAATCCATTTTTCGAGTGAAATTATTTTACTCCAAAAAAATAGTTTTACCTACACACTCTTTAGCATCAGAATAATAAATTTCTACGGGGGGAATCAATCAATTACATTGAAAATTGGAATTCTTGTAAATATATAAAAAAATTAATTTTAATGAAATTTATAAAAAATAACGCGTTCTCGCGAAGGCAGTTGAAACGCGGAACGCTCCAAGCGGAAGTGACGTATTATTTGTTTCATTTCACGCTTGTGTACGCGACGGCGTCTCGAAAATAGCACGCAGCGCTTCGAGAGCGCGCGCTCCATCATTTAAGTTTAGATTCAGTCAGCTGTTCAGACAGATCTCGAGAAGGACCACGACGGTGTTTGCAGCCCTTCGATTCTTTGTAATCTGATCGTGTAAAAAAAAAAAAATACGACTTTTGGGAGTTTCGACTTTACACTGCCTCCTTCGACCGCCTGCCTGACGCGTGGAAAGCATAGAAGGTGGCCCTTTTTCCTCGGTCCTTATTATACTTTTACGGTTCCTTTGAAACATCGGTTGGAGAGGTTGCTTTCATCTTTCGTCGCTACTCTGATTCTTGTTTTCCTTTATCATGATGCCTTTACCTGCGTATTCCGTATAAATTTTTCTAAAGTCTAGGATGCGTTCGCTCATAATATGCGTGGCATTAATACTCTTTGTAGATGAAAGGTATTGATATGTAGATAATATCATAAATATTACTTCTAGTAGAGGAAAAAATACAAGAGGAATCGAAGAATTTTTATAATAATTCGTAACGATATTGTAACTATTGTACTTCGAATAAAATAAAATTGCATGTAGGGGAGGAGAAAATCGAAAAAAAAATTTTCCCTAAACAGTCAATGACCCATGGAGCCCTGGTCTCACCAACTCGTAAATAACAAAAACTGAATGTCAGAACTATTCGGATATTAATTAATCTTATTTCCTACGTTTTTAAAAGAAATCCTTTTTCTATTTATAGAAATTCTAGTACTTGTCTAAATACGTTAAATGAACTATTTAGAACTATCTCCTTGTAATGCAAAGTTAGTACCAGATTTTTTTTAATGTTATTTTAGTGGTGTTATCGAAACTTTTTTCTATGAACATAAGAGAATTCCTACATTCCTTAAAAGGCAGCTAGAATTTTAACCAGAACTCTCAGGAAATATTCGATACTAAACCGAGATAGATAGATTCATCGATCTTTAAAATATTTATCCTTTTATATAAGTTGTTAATCTCTTCAACGCTTGAAATCGCGCTGGAAGATATCGCGTCCTGCATTACGAAGATTAGGACAAGCGGCGATTTTCCTTGCGAGAAAGGAAGAGGCGTGATTGGTAGACAGGTTTATCCTCGTTGATCGTGTAATATGATTTTAGGGATCAGCTGCGAGAAGAGGCAACCTTTTCCTTTGTGCGGCTGATTCTTGGGAGTCCTGCGAGAAACGCAAAAAGGGCAACGCCTCGTGGCGTAACCGTAAAGCGTAGGAGATCTGACCTGGTCTGTCTGTCCCAAAATCTCCTCGTTAAAACGATCCTTTCCGGGCTGGCGGGAGTCACGCTTTAAACGACGTTTAAAGGGCCCGAGCAAACAATACTCGGCCTTAAACGGGTCCGACTGGCTCGACCTTCTTCTTCGGTTCGTCCGTCCCGAGTTCGCTCTATCTATCTCCTTGAGTTGAATGATTGAATCGGCGAAACACACTTTTATTTAGTATTGCTCGAGATATCGTATACCCGATTATTTCTTTCGTGTAATTTTTTCGCTATTTTTATTCCACGCGATTAACTTTTTTTAAACACCATACTATGGGAGAGCACAATTAGCTATAACATACCTAATGATTGATGATAAAAAAAAACGTTCGTAAAAATAAACATATTAAAAAATTTTTTTTTAATGAAAGCGGTATACATTAAGGAATTAATGTTAAACCTAATAGTTAATATCAAGCAAATGTGTATATCTTTATTAATAAAAAAGTAATAATAATCATTGGGAAAAGAAAGCCGGTTATATACTCAAAAAAAGGGAGGGGGAGCGATTAAGGCCCAATTTTTCATTTGGTTAACTTGCTGTTAACTTTGTGGTTGACTTGGTAATAATGTAAAAATTGTATTTTTCTATCTCTGGTTCTAGTTAATAATCTCATCACTATAACTGATAGTTTTGTGATTAATTTTAAAATTATCATTACAAAAATCATTAGTTTAACCGTAAATAGAAAAAAACATAATTTTATATTATCATTTAGTTAAATTAAGTCTAAATCACTAAACACAATCAACTGTTTCCCATCGATTTTGAGCTTTTAATATGTTGTTCTATAGACAAAAATAAGAGGTACGTTTTTTTATTTTATATCAGAGTTGATATATCTAAGTTGCACGTTAAAGGGGTGAAAACTTCCCTTGAAAAAAATTAGTTTTTTTCCTTTCAGAGTGAATATCGTCGAAACGCTATTTGATCTGAAAGAAAGAAACCGAATTTTTTCAAGAGAGGTTTTCACTTTTTTAACGTGCAACTCAGCCGATAAAAAAACTATTTCTTATTTTCGTCTATAGAACAGCATACTAAAAGCTTAAAATCGGAGGAAGACGGTGTTCCTTGTAAATCGACGACAATAGAATGTATTTGTACTTAACTGAATGAAATTGTGAAGAATATTCACTCCAGATCAGTTAAAGAATGTGCTATCGCGAAGCATCTCGTGTACGTATCTATTGATTGTGAGGATTCAGCTGGGGTCGCCGACATTTCTTGTTGCGAGGTAGGTTTCTCGCGAGATTCCGGCTGGCGTCGTCGATCCCGAGGAACACTGTATATCGTGAAACGCAGAGAACGGACGAGTTCTCTCGCGTACAGGAAACGAGAAGGAAGCCGAGCATACAAGCAGGAAGGGGAGAGAGGAATTTCGTTGAATCGCGCGATCATTGATTTACGGTGGTACCTCGTAAATACCGGCGGTGATGTACGATCGTGACCGCAAACTCTCGGTCCGCACACCGCTACGAGTCGTATCCTTTTTTCTTCCTTTCCCCCGCCCCGCCCCGCGCCGAGCGTCTTTTTCCCTCGTTCCTTGCCACCGACATTTCCTTTGCGGACGAGTCTCTACTTGATTTATAATACGTATTGGTCCCTTGTCTCTCCCACCGTACATGCCTCCTAGAGAATGCTTGGATTCCGCTGACCATCCTTCCTCGTGACCGCTCTCCTATCATGCCATTCGCCCCTTGACACCGCTGAGAGAGAACCACGACGAATTTTTTTTTTCCATCTTATTTTCATCCTCTTTTTTCCCTTTTTTTCTTTAGTCACACAGACATTGCCTGCCCTCCATTGTGTTGACTTCTAAATATGTAGGCCGCCGCCGCTCATCCGGAACAGAATACCGATTGATATTCTTATTGAATTTTATGATTTGTTACGTTTGCTTAAGGTAAGAGATTACGTAAAAAGCACGAAACGTCAGATTTAATCGGAATTCTTTCAATTGTTCTCGCAAGTTGCTCCGAATATTTATTAGGATACTTATTAGGTCGTCTGTGGCGGAACTAGTGTATATCTTTGCAATTTATAATGTATATGTGTTTGACATTTGACGAAAGCGAGAAAGAGTTTTAGTGCAGTCTGGTGCAGGAATAGAAAACAAACCTCTTGCCTCCATTAAATGAAAGTCAAAATTAATTCTAATAAAGATGTACCTGCTTTGAACTTATTGAAAGAACAAAATTAATTAACACAGTTCAATATTCTTAACTTTAAAATAAGTATAAGAATTTTATGTTGGATTTGTGTTAATCTTTTTTTGAAATTATTCCTTTCGCAATCTTTCAGTCACATTCCAATATCGTATATTCTTAAGATTAAAATTCAGATTTTCACGAGTGTTTCAAAATCGCGACGAATATGTGTT